TGAAATCCTTGAAGCATATTACGTTAATGCACAAGCACCTCTGTCCCTCACTCATAAAGTGATACTACATTCTTAGAGTCTTTGTTTTCCAATTCGCAGTAGGTTGGCAGTCATTCAATTAGAGATAATTTGGTATGGCAGCTCTCTTCACTTGAAGCAGTTCATCTCAGTCCTCACGAGTACATTCACTCCATCTCAATGCCAACTTTCCTCAACTAGATAAAAGCATAGCAGAAGTATTTTTGGTTGGCAAAGCCGGCAGGTTTTTGGAGGCTCTGTCATGCCCCAGCAGGGCAGCAGTCAGGTTATAATTTGCCTTAACTGTTCTGCCCACAAACAGCAACAACAATTATCTCTAGGTCTTTGGCATTTAAAGAAAGATTTTTTTTTCCAAGACACGTTCCACAAACACCTTGATGGAGATTAGACTGCAAAGAAAAAAAGTATTTCCAATTTTGACTACTTTTTTTTCTTGACTGGATATGTGCTTTTGGAATGCAACTGACAAACCTGCCCATGTATCTGTATGAGCATATTAGAAACATGAAAATAACTCAGGAAAATTACGGGTCTCCCATAAAACAACCAGGGTTCTATATGCATAATTTGTTCCACCTGCCATGTTTACAAGGCACCCCAAGGAGAATGAGCTTAAAACCCAGCAATCCATCAGTCTCCCAGTTCCAAGGGGTAATTATTGCCTCAACTAAGCAAAGAGGAATGCACAGCATGCTGCTAACCACGCCAGGTGACTGATGTTTACCGCTCATGCTCACCAGGTCACCAGCTTTTCTAATAGGGACTGAGGTCATGGTTTGATAACAAACACAACTCATTACTAACAACAAAAGAAAAGAAAAAAATGAATAGATGTCTACATTCAATGGACCACACCCAGAACACACACTAAAAGTGTGGGACTTATTACTTCTCATGAAAGATGAGGGAATAAATGTTGGGTAATTGGAGGGGTTTCATTTTTATTAAGTTATTACTCACAGGACTTCCTATACATTCTTTTAGTTAAATAAAGCCCTCATTACCCTTTTCTGATACATATATATATATGTATATATATATATATATATATATATATATATATATCATATTGTACTTGCTATCCACACAAAATAAGGCCGGATCTCCAGTAAAACATAAACTTCACTGTATCCAATTAAGGTCAAGGTGATGAGATGGAATAGAAGCCGTAAGGAATGGACTGTTTTCATGCTAGGATGAGGCTCAAGTGCAAAAACTCTCAGGCTGGAGAAATGCACACAATGAACACAAATCTTCCCAGAGAATCTGCCAATAAGCAGCTATTCAAAGGAGAGCTCTTTGGGGACACACCCCAAAATGTATTGCAAAAGGTCACACACAACTCCTACCCTCTGAAATGAGATAAACACAACATACAAATTAGCATATAGAATATCTAGTCATTAAATGTTCCTTGCCTGGGCTCCCATGGGAAGAAGAGGAGGCAGTGGAGTGGGGGGGGGATAGGAGAAAGTAGGTAAAGATGGACAGGTCACTTGGAAATGGCGCCAGTCTTTCAATTTCACAAATTAGTAAAATTGTAAGAAAAAAGAAACCAAACCTATGGGATTGGGGGCTAGATGATACAGAGTTGTCAGTTATTTGGTCAAAGTGTAAGTACCATCTACTATAAGAATATTTATTTGTATGTAATAGAAATGTCAGACCCTTAGCTTTTCACTCATGACATTTTCTTTCAAAAGTGGACATTTTAGAACATATGATGCTTATTATAATTTGTGTCTTTGAGACAGATTTGGGGAAGAGATAATGTAGTTTTCAAATTAAATTTCAGAGTGTGTGGGTAACATCTTCCTCTGTATTTCCCCTCTCTGATTGTATGAATTCCATTAACTCTCCACATCCCTCCTTCCCCCCCCCCCCCCCCCGTCACAGTGGTGAGTGTGGTGATTTCTAGTGAACATAAGCTTTGGTGCTAGCAGACACCTCTAAGTTATTTTAGTCTCATTCTGGCAGAGAATGACATTTTTAACATTTGTGTTAATGTTTGTATCTTGTCTCTTTTAACTGCCATGATTAAGCAAGGCATATTGTGGCTTCAGTGTTGGGGGCGGGGGTTGGAGAGCTGGAATAAAACCAGCTGTTTCCCCCTGCTGGCTGGACATGTTTTACATTCTCTACCTCACTGCCTGCAGCATTAGTGCTCCCCATAGAACCAAACCCATTTATTTCCCACCCACTGACTGACCTCCTAAAGCATCATTAACATGCCCCCAAAGGCCTTGATGCTGTCAATTTTAGTTGCTCAGCATTCAGAAGCCTTTGTAGGGCTCATCAGAGCTCTGCAGGAAAGGAAAGCAAGAAAGGAAAAGGTATCAGAGCCAAACCTTGGGGAATGGCCAACACAGGAAGATGGAGAGAGAGGTCTGGGAACAGAAGGAAGCCTATCTGAAGACAGAGTGCAAAGCTAAAAATTGAAAGGTTGGTTTACAGACACCCATAATTATATGTTTCTGCCACTGAATTCTCAGTTAGTTAATGGCAGATGGATCAATATCTACTTTCGATGTTCATGTACACCATTATGGATGAGGTGGGAGGCTAGTCTTCTGAGAAGAGGGAAGGATTTTAGGAAATGGGTCTAGGAGAGAATGATTCATAACCAAAATTAATAATTTCAATGGTTTACTTGGCTTTTGTTTGTTGTGGTGCTGGTCCTAGGGCTTAAAATCAAGGCCTCAGCTTTTCTGCTCAAGGCAAGTACTCTACCATTTGAGTCCTAGCTCCATTTCTGGCTTTTTAGTGGTTAATTGGAAATCAGAGTCTCATGCACTTTCCTGTATGAACTGGCTTTGAACCATGAACCTTAGATCTCAGTCTCCTGAGTAACTAGAATTACAAGTATGAGCCACTGGTGCCCAGTTTGGTTTACATTTATAGCTTCTGCTCATATCTTTGGATTCTTTTTGGCATTGTTTCAGCCAACTTTCTCTATTCTGATAACTCTACTCACCCTGAAGTTAGTTACAGAGAAACTGATTATGTGGAGAGAATATCAAGAATGAATTTGGAACTGTGTTATGTAAACACAGCAGTATCAGCTTGAATGACTGAGTCCTGAGTTCTAGAACATAGTTAAAGGAAACAGCTACATTCTGTAAATGTAGCTCATGATTCTAGAAACTTTAACTGCTCCAGCTTGTCAGGAATACTGGTTTCTTTTTATGTATTTTTTGCTCCCCCTGGAAGAATATTTGCAACTAGATTTCTATCATTTAAATGACAATAACATTTAAAACTGTATTTCCCCCCAGAACCAAGCAGAGAATTTAAGGTTTCATAGTGCAATAAATAAATAAAAGCAGGCAGCACAGTTTTTCTAAAATACAACTTGTGTGTAGGAGGAAATTACTCTGTGGAAATATGCCATAAATCCAAAGCTATACTTATAAAATGACTTGAAATATGTAGTTTTTAGCACTCAATGCTGTGGAATGTTGGATCTGCTTAGTTAGAACATTAATCACAGCATCTCCATTCACAGGAGCCTTCTATGGGCATTCATCTTCAAACAATATGTTCCCTAAATTAGTTCTAAATAAATCTTATCCACTATTAGATACCCTTTACTAACCATAAACCAATGACTCCTTCAGATACTACCCAAACTCCTAAGAGATTTCAAAGAATACACATCCTTGTAAGATATATGCTTCATTCTCTTGACAAAGCCTGTCAAGTGATCTTGGAGGTGCCTCGAGGAGCTATGTAAAACTTCATTAGCTTTTGCCAATGGAAATCATAGCTCAGCCTACGAAAAACCATCATTTATTAAACACCTCTATAATCCAGGTTCTGCCTAGGGGTTCATAAGGATAACTGGTCTCATAGAAACCTCATAACAACTCTACAGGTTGCTCCTTAATAGGAAAACCCTAAATCAAGAATGCTTTAAAGCGGGAAGCTTCTGAGCACTGACCTAAGGCCATGAGTGAAAAATTCTATAGCTGGCACATGTCACAGATTCCAGGCAAAATATTGCATTAAATTACCTTAGGCCATGTCTGTTAGATGTATAAGAAACACAAGTCAATTTTGTATTTAGACTTGGCTCCCATCCCTAAGACTTTCATCACCTATTAAACTGACTCCAAATTAGAAAAAAAAAAGATATGTGAGATTCCAAACAGTTATGTCTCCAAACATTTCTGATAAGAGCTATTCAACCTGTATATGCTATACTAACCCACTAATATCCTATTTTATGGTTGTAACAACTGAAGCTTTGGAGCTTAAGCAACATGCTCCAAGTGACATAGCAGTAAGTAGTAGCAGAGTCAAGGATTCCAGCACTGCCCACAATCAGGCCTCCCACATGACAACACCCATGTTCTTCTCCTGTAAACTACAAGACCAGCCATTTAATCACATCCTCTGTAGTCCTTGACCTCATTTATTAGATGTCACTTTATGTTGGAGACTTCATATTAAACACAAAGTCTATTACACTTGTACATTTCACAAAAAACACATTGCTTAAGCAGTCACAGAAACAAAAAGTTAGATTTTCAAGTGTAAATTATAAACTAGAATAATGTATTAAAACAAGTACAAAATTCCAATAGGTTGAATCTGTGTTTGTTTGTTTGTTGGACATGGGGCTTGAACTTAGGGTCTGGACACTGTCCCTGAGCTCTTTTTGCTCAAGGCTAGAGCTCTAACCACTTTGAGCCACAGTGCCCCTTCCAGTCTTTGAGTGGTTGATTGGAGATAAGAGTCTCATGAGGACTGTCCTGCCTGGGATGGCTTTGAATGGAGATCCTCAGATCTCAGCCTAAGGAACCTGTTTTATGTGTAGGTTAAAACAATTAGAAAAGTTCACCGCAGAAGTCATCCTAACAGTGGAAGTTCTAACCATCTGAAGGGTCCGGCCTGATCCACCTACAGTCTACCTTCAGGCGTATGCTTCATGCTATGGTGTCTTCCAGTGGCTACTGTACCTGAGCAAAAGCTGTTGCTGCTAATGGTCCTCGCTGAGCGCCCGGAGCTGCTGGGATTGAATTCTCTGCTCTCCTCCTCTGAGAAGGGAGACTCGGAGGCTGGGGATACTTTGTGCTGCTGCTGAGGGAGATGAGGCCGAAGAATCAAGCGAGGAATCCGACTTCGGGAAATCTCCTTCTCATGATGCTGTGCTTTCTGCTCCTTCTCAAAATTAGAAAATAAAGAGACTCTGTTTCCCACAGTCCACTCCTTTCTAGTTTCCAAGAAGCCACATTTCTGAATAAGATTCAGTGTGATCCTTATCTCAATAACTGAAATGAGCCCCCCCCCCCAAATCCATTACTGAGCTCGCTCCTCTGTGTGTGTACCTCCCCCAGCGTCCCCCGCCTTCCCCCCACTCCCCGCCCCAGGGCGTTCCCCACATTGGGTTTTTCTATCACCACCGGCCCTAGGTCCTTCACCCACTCACATCACACTGTGGCGGGTTAAGTTATTTCCTTTAGATTTCTAGTGTGCTTTTTCCTAAATTAGTAGTGACAATTTGACTTTGGGGTGGTTTTTTTTTCTCCATCTTCCCCCCCCCCCAAAAAAAGACTCCTAGATCGAAACATTTTTTTTTCTTGGTGGATCACACACACTTATCTTTAAAATCCCTCCTCCTCTTCCGGACAGGACCTTAATTATTCATTAATATCCTGGTATACAAGGCTCCTTGCCAAGAGAAAAGCAAACACAAATCCAATACCCAGGAAGATGGCCCCAAGCTCTTACATCACATGTAGCTTTGTTTTCCTTGCAGGATACCCACGAGATGAAAATAAAATAAAAATGTCTCCCTCTGCTTTAAAAAAAAAATGTAACATTCAATATCCCGCGTTGCCTTAAACACAGGCACCAAAAGTCAGATTCTGACCAGGCTTTCCGATTTTCTCCTCTGCTCTCCACCGCTGAGGCTGCAACCCTGGCGGGGTGGGGTGGGGTGGGGTGGGGTGGGGTGGGGGGTGGACTAATGCATGTCCCTGTTTACAGATGAGGAAACTGAGGCCCAGAGGAGCCTAGCTTGCTGTAATGGTCTAGAAGCAGAGAAAGCCTCTCAGGATGACCACCACCCGGCCTTAACACGAATTCCTCAGAGGACCTTTGTATTTTCCCCTCCCCTCTCTCCAAATTCCAGGCTCCCTCCAACCTCTGCAACTGCAGGAGAGAGGGCTTTGGCCCGGGTCACAGCGCCCTTTCTCAATCCGACCTCCCGCTCGTTTCCACGGTCACCACCCGCCCGGGGGTCACGGCCAAAGTCAAGCCCGCTGGGAGGCGGCCCGGCCCCGGCACCGGAGGGGACCTCCCGGGCGCGCGGGGAACGCGCGGGGG